TCTGCATGGCAGGCAACTAAAGCCAGATTAGTTACGTATGTATGTATGTATGTATCTCACAACATGCTTTCAATATTTACTCTAATAAGATGTTTTAACTACACTTATTCACTACATTTATATTTACTACCGAGTTAAAGTGAGTTTGACATGAATCTTGCATTACTTGTTAACACACAACAACCTTATGTTTAAGATACTTATACACAGATATGTAGATGGGAAAGGAAATAGACAGTGATCAACTGAAGTCATCTTAGAGATGTACAAAACCTGAGATATTAAGTTCACACACTAAATTATGCATGCTGAAAAGAGGTAGTATTTAGACACTTTTACATGACAAGTCACACAAACAACTGTTCCACATCATTTTGCATTTTTGTCCTGGCCCCTACACACTGCTTCCCACAGGCAAGGAACACTGGCCAAGCATGACGCTGATCTACTACCTCCTAACCCTTGTTTGGCAACTAGAACATAAAGCAGCTGCAGAACCTCCACAAATGCAGCAAACAAAAGGCTAAAAAACTTGAATTAGTTTGTTTTGCACTGAGCCTCTGACATCTGTCAGTAACTTCAGCTAACTGATTTGTTAGACATGTAAAACCTCACCAATTCCTGCTTCAGAAGACTTGCTTCAAATTAATAACCATCACTGTTCCAAAAGGCAGTCAGGATCTATGAATCCATTAATGGTCAGTCTGTTATTTACAGATTATTCACTAATCTAATGATCCAAGAGAAAGCAGCATCTTTCAGGACTCTTGGCCACTGCTTTAAAAGAAGTGTTTTGTTCAAATCTAAGATTGATGTAAGCCACCCAAAGACATTTTCCACTTATCAGAACAAAGCCTGTAATGGATCAGAATTACATTGAAAAGAATCAGCTCTTTCTCACCACTCCCTGTTCTTAAAATTCATGAGTAAAAATGCAAGAATTCATATCACATTCCTGGCATATACTAGAGACTGCATTCAGAAATAATTTACCGATTTAAAACACAACTTTTCAGGTAAGTTTGCAAAACATTTAAACACATAACAGAAGCATTTATAAACAAGCTAGCTCTGGGGTTTGTATCTTAAGATGCTTTAAACACCTGAAAGTGAGGCAACAAAATTCAATTACCAACAGGATAAACAAATATGAAATCTAGCAATTGTGTTGTTAGACATTGGGCAGTAGTTCTTCCACGTGACTAAAAGCAGAGCTGTTAAAAGGCCAGAAGACTACAGAATTAATTAATGAAGTCATAGACTTATCACTAGATTTTTTTAATTAGTGTTTTTTAAACACAGTTAAAGAATAGTTTTCAAGGCTAAGAAAATGCTTTCATCTCAGTAGCTAACTGGTACAGTTAGCTTTTTACGTTAAAGACAAGTTTTTAGATAAATCTAAACCTTACATATAAAATAGTTATTTAGAAACAAAAACTGAATAGAAATTTGCCTGTGACAGTTTAAAGTTCAACTCCTGTTAAATAGGACACAAATACTGCTTTTCTACAATTTCAACACACTTCCAAATAAACCAAGTCAGTTAAATAATTTCAAACCTTCACCTCAACAGAGTTCTAGAAGAAATACTGATGCCACTACAATCATTGCTTCAGCCATACAATGAGTTCCAAGTTACCTAATGTCCCTTCACAAACTGACAAAGCATCAGAGAAGACAGTTATAAGGCTGTGTTGTAGTGCACAAAATACTTCAAACAAGTCCCGTTTGAGAAGTTACTTATCCTTATGAACAGATCTTAATCCCACAACAAAAAGTACTTTAAAATTTTTATTAATTAGTTTTATAACAGCTTCATGACTTGAGAATGTAGAGGCTGAGAGGAGTTGACTTTAGTCGTGGTATGGGTTGTGGTGCTGCATGCCTCTGCCACCCAGGAAGCTGATTTCCCTGAGAAATGCTCATTAAGCCTCGGCCTCGATGAACTGCACTTGGACTAAACTCCCTTTGAGCTTATCAGGAACACTGTCTGTTTCCAGGAACTAACAAGGGTCTAATGAACATCTGCTTTTAACAAATAGCCTTGGAATTCTTTTTTTTAATAACAACAAAAGTGGAATAATATTTTTATTGTTGAACAGTCAAAGAAAGTTACCAACTCAAATTGGCCAGAATGGACAATTTCTACAACTAAAGCCCACTCTCTTGCTACCCTATAAACAGTGTCCAAAGTGAGACCTTTTTGAGCTCTTAATTGTAAGGGGCTAATGTGTATTAAAGCCCATTGTCTAACAACCCTATAAACAGCAGTCCACAGTGAGATCCCTTTGAGCTCTTGATTCCCAGAAGATAATGGGCTAATGTGTATGTCTCAAACACAGATAACTGGATGGCTGTGGAGCCAGCCAAGGACTGTTATTACTAACAGACAAGAATTGCTGGTAAATCCAAGGACTATTGGTATTAACACACCATGAGAAAGAGCAAGATTTGGCAGGAGAAGGAGGGTCAAGTGGAGATAGAGAGGCACTTTTCCTTTAGAAAGAACACAACACAGTACAATGCAGGAATGAGTGGCAGGAAGTGGACATGGACTAGAGGGTGGGATTAAAACCACCAAAGACCTCCAAAGCCCCCTGACACATTTCCAGAAAGGCCTGACAGAATGGACTGTGCATAACTAATTTACATCACGAACACTCTTCTCAATAAACTTAGTTGTTAATATAGAGCACAAAACTGACCAAAGAAAAGCCCATTTACTTCAGATTCATACAGGATATTCAAAGTATTAGGTATGATGAATTACAAAGAACTGAGTGTTATAAAGGCCTCTATCTATAATTATTCAACAGTGAACTTTTTGCAGTTCAAGTTCAAATCAAAATATTTATCTTGTAATGAAATTACACGCTATTTTATAAAGTTGTATTTTATAAACTAGTCAAAAGAAAACAGAATATTTAAAAACCTTGTCGTTTTTAAATAGTAGTTTTTAGCCAGAACACTTAAGATTCCCAGATCTGGGAATCCAGCGTGACCTAAGTGGCTATGACAAGGTACAGATCTGGGAATCTTAAGTGTTCTGGCTAACTGCATATGTTATTATAATAGATGTTTTAAAATTAAAATTGCTAGAAGAATAAGCCCCTGTCTCAAGCTATGCTCACACCATTCATGGTAGCTATGGAGCTCTCATTACCTGACTTGGCAAAACAGGATTAGTAACTAAGTCAACCACTAAAGCAACATCAGTGACCGAGACTTCTTTCTACCCCCACTCAACTCCCTGTGATGGATTTTGCTACTGACATCGTTACATTTACAGAAAAGAGGATCGTTTAAAACTTCCACTTTGCTTAACTAAAGATACCACACATCTAAAACTCTAACCCAGCCTACAACAGATTTACACACAATGAGAATCAGATACCTGTTTTACAGCATTAGTTAGAAGCCCATGTTTAAGTGGGGTTTCAGGATACAAATCCCACTTTTACACTGACATTTAAGCAGACACTACAGGTAAGAGAAAAGTCACTAAAAAAAGGAAGGGAGAAGTAGAAAATTCAGTTTGGACACACTACTATATCTCTTACACTTGGACAATCCTCATTAAATTAGTTATAAATTGCATTTCCCTCCACTTGACTTCTATGCTCCATAAAGGAACACTGCCACTCCTTTGGGGCAAATAATTTGCCTCAGTCAACAAAGCTTCCTGTTTGCTGTATAACAGTTCAGAAGCACAGAATTGTCTGGGCCTGAAGGGGTCATTAAAGAACACCTAGTCCAACTCACTTGCTGTGGGCAGGGACATCTTTCAGGAGATAGTTGGGCAAAGCCCCATCCATCCCCTTCTAGAACACTTCCAGGAATGAGGCACCCACTACTTTTCTGGGCAAGCACTTACAGTGTCTCACCACACTCACAGTGAAGAATTTCTTTCAATATCCCATCTCAATCTACCCTCTTTCACTTTAAAGTCATTACCCCTTGTCCTATTCCTACAGGCCCTGGTCAGATTTTATGCATAGTGATCATAGAAACAATTTCAAAAGGGACTTGTAATCACTTAATCCTCTACAAAAGAAACCCCAGTAATCTGCATTTGTGTTGTTCCTGACAAATTTGTTCATAACCTGCTCTTTAAAACTACAAGATTACCATTTCACCCACCAAAAAGTTTGTTTAGAACTTGGCATGACACTACATTAGAAGGTATTACATAAGTATTTAACTTTTTCTATTGCTATCTATTACTTAAAATTATTACCTCCTGTCCTATTCAAAAGAAATACAAGTGTCAGATTATTCTGTGTTCTTGCTAGCATCCTCTGAGCTCCCCAAGCAGTCCATGTCTAATGCATACTGTTGAGAAGCAAACACAGCATTCCAGCTGAGACTTTATATATACTGGAAAAGTAGGAATACCTCCTAAAAGGGAAGGAGTACTTACTTTTAAAACAAACGATATGCTTTTCAGAAATTTAGTCAACTGACTTTTAGAAATTTAATCTGAAATATCTCTCTAGCTTGCTTACAATTCTATTACTTGAGTATAAAAATTTTTACTCAAAATACAAGTGGTATTCAGCTACTCTGATACAAACAAGAGCTCTAACACTGCAGAATTTTGCTTTATCATCAAGGGAGAAAAAACTCCAGGTAAAAAATTCCAGGTAAAAAATTGAACCAGTTTTCCTGGTTGCCTTGTTGGTGCACACACTTTCTCTTGTTCCAAAATTCCTCTGAAGACATATATATTCAAATTATTCTGTCCCTCCACATTTTAAAGATATGACAATTGATGTTCAGCAATGCAGCACATAAAGTGACAGAAAAGGCATCTCAGTTTAGGTCACTAGTGTGTCTTATTCACAACTACTCTGGAGCCTAACAGATTGAACCTCAAACCCAGTGTAAGCCCAGTTTCAATTATGTACCAAGTTATGACTTGGACAGCATCAGTAAGATCGGATCTTACAGTAGCACGTAGTGTGATGCTAAGGGGCACTGCAACCATGACCAGTCCCTACCGTTCCCGGTTAAATTTGAGTGAATGAAGTATAGCCGGCCTCTTCTGGCGCAAGTTCCACAGGTGCAAGGTGTCATCAGCCAAGGCACTCACAAGAGCTCCCTAGGAGAACAAAAACATTTTAGTCAACTTGTTTTCACAGCCCTAGGAACAGTGTAGCATCACAGTGGAAACACATTACATATCTATTATCAGGATGAAAAAATTATATAAGCATGTGCATCAGCACCATAGCACAGCTAAGTTCTAAGTAGTAGGAATAAGTGATGTGATCACATGTTCAGCTCAGTCATATTTGGTTCAGTGCTATACTGAGAGGTGATGGGGAAGTAGCTTTTTCCAGTGTGTGCTCATCAGTTTCCTCACGCCCATCTCTGCAGAGAAATCAGGCAACGAACTGCTAATATCGGTGTGCTGTCAAAGCTAGCGAGATCCCTCTAAAAACCTGTCCCTAGCTCAAGAACAGCACTGCTGTCAGATCTCAGCTGCAACATTCATAGACACACACATCTGAAACTGAGGCAACATTATTCAGTTCAAGTCTAAGACAGTAACTCGATGAAAATAAAATTAACTACCTACTGAAACTGGTAGTACTATTGAAAAAAAGTACTTCACCATTTCCAGAGATAACTTGCAATGTTCAAGGACATGAAAAGTTATTCCTAGTTTTTGCTTATAGCAAAAAAGTACTCTAGTGACTAAGATATTTTCAGGAGTTAGTCAAGCATTTTCCAAAACTAAAAAACTTATTTTATTTATAATTGTTATTACAGTTTGCTATTTGTGCTACATCATTTTTATCAACTAATTTTAATGCTTGCCTAATGAAAAATTAATGAAAATGTGCTCCATATCTTCTCTGAATTACACATAAATCATTTTACTAACCTCATTAATCAGGAATTGAAGTTGGATTACTGCAGCTCCACTGTCATGTTGACAGTAGCATTCAACTCCTGGCCGACCAAAGCTGGAATTATTACCATTAAGGAATAATTGTTGCATATAACAAACAAACCACACAGCATAACCAGCATTTTCACTTTCACAAATACCACGTTCACACAGGCTAACATCCTGCTTCTAGCTAGTGCACTCAACATATCTAACCACACAGAGTTGAATAGTTACCAAAACAGTAATTTACAAATGCCACAAAGAGACACAAAGAAATCAAAAGGCCTACCTTGAAAGATAAAAAATTATGTATAACTGCTTAACTTACAGAGACATAAGGGATTCTTCATCACAAGGAAACTGAAGAACGATGAAGCAGTTATTTTAACAATGTTAAACATCAGGACTAGAATTAAAGAAGTTTTTCAAATTTCAAATTTTTCAAATGCCAAAGGATCCTTCTCTCCCTTTAAACATTACTTGAGGATGAAAAGACCTGAAAAATGCAGGGCACATTAAAAAAAAAATCTGCTGTGACAGAAATGAGAAGATCAGTAGTCAAAATATGGAGGAGTCAATGGGAAATTATGTATAATGTAAATTTTCAGGATATCTGTATCAAGACTTCCTGGATTCACACCAACAATGAGATAGCAAAAGCTTGCTCATTTTCACTCTCACACATAAATCAGTCCTATCCTTCCATAACGAATATTGCTGGAAGCTGCAGCAAAACAGATTCTTTCACTTCTCCATATTGAACTCATTTCTTAGTTGCAAACATTGTGCATTTTAAATGTGGTTATGCACCTGCTTCTGATACAAAATTAAGTTCTCCAATATCTAGGACATCGAGCAGAAATAAGAGAGGAATTAAGCAAACTGGTCAGTAATTCACCATCATTGTATGCCCAGTGTTTCTGGACTATAATTTGTCAGTGCTGAAGATTCTTGTTTTCAAGAAGCACCTTAGCTTTCAGAAGAAAAGAAATTATTCCAAAGCTTTATGCAAAACAGGGAATGATGCACAACTTTTGCTCTCAGTATATGCTAAAAATTAATAAAACAGTACAATTCTCACCCATTCTGCAGCTTCCCATTTACTGAGAAATTCCTGAACAAAACCTAAGTGGATAACATGTGCATTCTTAAAAAACATGTGCATTCATGCTACAGACAGTTGGAAGGCTGAAAAGACTATTAGCCTGCATGCAAATCAAAACACAAACACATCTCCTGCTCAGCCTCTAAGCTGGTAAAGTAAAAAAGTACAACAGCAGGGAGAAGTCTGCTTCACCACACTGTTATATTTCAGCTTTTCAACTTGAATCACATTCTTCTAGACTAATAAATCTGCATAACATCCAGCTAAGTGGTGAGAAACTCACTAGACAGATGTTGAATAATCCACCAAACTTAATACCAGCTTTCTTCCCCAAACAAAATTAGTAATTTAATTTTGTTCTGCCATGGAAGGACTTAAAGAATCAGTGAGCCTCACCTGTTTTTTTGCTTTTATTTTACCTTCTTATCAATAAGTTTTTTTACAAAGAAGTCATCTGTATTCCAGTCACAGTTTATAGCTTAAAAAACAAAAAGAGCAGAGGGGGTGCTGTCCCCATAAACAGTACCTTCCTACACAAACTCAGAATACTTTTAATGTAAAGTCACTGCTTTTACATTAACTATGGATTGACTACACAAATTGCCAGACTGAAAAAACCCACAAGAAATAACATAGGTTTCAGAGCTGACTGCCTTCGGCCTTGCTCATCCATCTGCATTCGCTTGAATTAATAATTATTTGCACAAGAAGACAAAAACGATTTTCAAATATGAAATTCAAATGCTTACAGGAATTAAATTTTAAAACTTGCTTATCTTCACTGACACAGGTAGTTTTCTAATAAAAGAGTTTCTCAGCCCTTCCCTGGAACAACATTTTCCAACATAATTAAATGCAAACCTTGCTTGTAAACCTGGAGTTTATTTGGAATTAAGACTCTACAGCTACCTTGCTTCAAAATAAGAGGAATATGACCCAGAAAAACATAAGTCCATAGACTGCTCAAGTACTTCTTTCAAATTCTATTCCTCGGATGCTTTCTGCAAGCACTTCAGATGCTAATATTTCTGGAAGTACTGTTACAACTAGTCAGTAAAAATTTCATTATTAAGAATATTTCAATGTTTCCTTAAACAAAAAATTCTTCCACATTTTCCAGGGATTGGTAAATATGCAGCACTGTGAGTAAGATTAAACAAGTTTTAAATATTCAGAGCAAATCTGTCTTCAACAAATTAGTGGAAAACTCACAAACAGATTTGAAAATAGTTTGGCCTCCTCTACAGCACTTGCTGTAATTAAAAAAAAACCAAAAAACAACAGTCCTTGCAGCTAGTCTTATTTAGTTCTTTTACTCAAGGATTATGTCATCTTCACTTTTTCACCTAGTAGCTAAAATTATTCTTCTCATCTCAAATTAATATCATCCTCCTAACCAGCATTAATCTTCTTTTCTAAAGCAATGCAAAGCCTCCCAGTTTTGCGGGGTGTGCTGAATTGAAAAAGCACGTCACAAAGGCTGACTGTAGAAGGATAATACATGCCTGCTTCAGTACATGTGAAGCATTTCTCAACCACACAAAAGAGGCAGCAGCCCAGGGAATGCAGTTTGCCCAAATCCGCTGCACTTGTGCATGTGTGCTTTAGGCAAGAGAGCTCACTGTACTAAGCAATGATTATCTACTACATTGTCGTTCCCAAACAGGCAAAAATTATAATGAATAATGACAAGATGAGCAAAGCATTTTAATTTTGTAGACAGGAAAAACTCTGCCAAAGACCTTGGGTAGCTCTAAAGGAAATACTCTGCTCTGAGCAGTTTTCTAATCAAAGACCCATCCATGCTCCTTCAATTCCAAGCAGCTCATTCTACTATTCATGCTTCATCCCCAATTCAAAATATTAACAAATTGGATAAATTAATAGCTTCTAAACTGTACCGTTGAATATTGCTCCCATGTTCTGCACTGCCATTTAGAAATTAACCCTGAAAAACACTAGCATTTCAGTGCCTTCACTGCATATGTTTTGTGAAAACAAGAGACAACAGCTGTGCCTGAGAGAAGAAAAAGAGAACATGCTCATGTCCTAGCATTAGTGCTCATTTTCAATAACTGCTAGAAGTGCAGGTAACACACAAGGAAATCACAGTATGACCTTAATTTAATACCACATACGACTAAATTCACTTTCATTTATGAGAAATAGCAACATTTCCTAAAGGTATTTTTTCAAACAAGCTTCAGACCTAAGCTTACACTTCAAGCACTTCTTTCAGCAATATGCAAGTTGTCTCCTCAAAATACTCTTTTTTTAAGTTATTACTATTACTATTTATAGCTTAGCTACACAGTAGCAACTCAGTGCACATCTGCCGTTAGAAATCACAATTGAAAGTAAAAATTAATTCCAGAATGTTTAAGAAAGTCAGAGACCACCAGGTTTTTTTGGGTTTTTTTTTGTTTTTTTTAAGTAGACCTAGGGACTACTAGGGATGACTTCTTCACCTGTGGTTGACCTCTGAAGTACGAGACAGTCCAAAATCTGTATTTATCAATTCAACCCTTAGCATAAGGCAGTCATCAAAACATCACAAAACATTTAGATTTAAAAAGACCTCTATGTTAACCAAGTCCAACCTTCGACCAATCACCACCTTATCAACTGGAGTATGGCACTAAGTGCCACGTCCAGTCTTTTTCTGAACCATCCTCCAGGGATGGTGACACCACTGCCTCCCTGGGAAGCCCATTCCAATGTTTAAAAACCTTTTCCATGATAGAATTTTTCATGATATCAAAACTAAACCTCCCCTGGCACAGCTTGAGGCTACGTTCTCTTGTCCTGTCATCAGTTGCCTGGGAGAAGAGGCTGATCCCCACCTAGCTACAGCCTCCTTCCAGGCAGTTGTAGAGAATGGTAGGGTCTCCTAGGACCCTGAACCTCCTTTTCTCTAGGTTAAACACTCCAAGCTCCCTCAGCTGCTTCCCACAGCACTTGAGGACAAGTCCTTCTCTGGACACACTCCATCACCTCAATGCCCTTCCTCTAGTGAGGGGCCCAGCACTCGAGGCGTGACCTCACCAGTGCTGGGTGCAGGGGGACAATACTGCCCTGGCCCTGCTGGCCACACTGTTGCTGATACAGGCCAGGATGTCACTGGCCTTCCTGGCCACACACTGCCTGATGCTCAGTTGACTGCCAAAAAGCATCCACAGGTCCTTTCCCAGCTTTCCAGCCACTTTTCCCCAAGCCTTCAGCGTTGCATGGGGCTGTTGTGGTTGAAGTGCAAGCCCTGGCACTCAGCCTTGTTAAACCTCATAGCACTGGCCTCAGTACATAGATCCATTCTGTCCAGATCCCTCTGCAGAGCCTTCCCACCCTCCACCAGACCTGCATTCCCATCCAACTTAGTGTCATCTGTGAACTTACTGAGGGTGCACTTGATCTCCTCATCCAGATCATGAGTAAAGATATTAAACAGAACTGGCCCCAACACTGAGCCCTGAGCGCTTGTGACTGAACACCAACGGGATACAACACCATTCACCACCACCCTCTAGTCTGGCCATCCAGGCAGTTTTTAACCTAGCAAAGAGTGCACCTGTCCAACCCATGGGCAGCCAGTTTCTCCAGAAGAATGCTGCAGGAAACAGTCAAAGGCTTTACTAAAGTCTGGGTAGGCACCATCCACAGTCTTGCCCCTCATGCATGTCACCCAGTTTCCTAAACCAGGCTGGCTGGGCTCGACCCCTTGGCTTAAGTGCCCTGTGATCAAACTCAAGATAACCTGTTCCAGAACCTTCCTGGACAGCAAGGTCAGGTTAACAGGCCTGCAGATCCCCAGATCCTTCTTCTGGCCCTTCTTGTGGATGGATGCCACATTGGCCAACCTCCAGTCGACCTCCCTGGGTAGCCAGGACCGATGGCAAATGATGGAGAGCAGCTGTGTGCGCTCTTCCACCAGCTCCCTTGGCACACCTGGATGATTCCCATCCAGTCCCATA